CCACTTTCCCGTTACTATACAACTCACGGTAACAAATGATGGTTGTTATTGGGAAGTATTAGACAAAACACAGATGAGGAGTGCCCCAAATGTTGTTGGTATGAAGTTTATTTATTTATTTTCTTGGTATTGTCTTTTAATACACAGTCCTTAACAGTATATATCGCCTCCTTTAAATGAAATATAGCTTATCATAAGAGTAAAATGATCTATTTTTTGAGAATTTAGAAAATAAAAGGCAAAAAGTTCTACTACTCAAAGACCACTATGTTAACATTATGATTTCCTCTTCTCTAGAATCAATTATGTATTTTATTTTTTCAAGTATCCTCCCAGACCTACAACTGAACTCAAATGCTGAGTCAGCAATTTTCTTAAGTCTGCCTGTATCTCCAAAGCTCTCCTCTGTAGTCACCAAGCTCAAGAGTATGGCATACCCAATTGTAGGCAACTGTCCTAGCAAATACTGGAGATGGTTTGAGTGAATGAATAATTTTCAAATTTACTTGCTAGTTTGGGGTCTTCTAAGTCTTTCTATTTTACAATTATTTAATCATAAGTTATGCTGATTGACAAAGTCCAACAGCCACACAAACCATCTTGATGCTGAAAATAGGTAGAAGCGATGTGGCTGCCCTTTTATTTGGTCCTTGTTTCCAGATATTAAAGCCAATGTTTGTTATTATAGAGGCAAATATCCAATCAGGGGTTACCTTCTGGTTATATCCCTGAAACATGGAGAGGGAGGGGGAAGGGATAAGAGAATTATAGAATCTCTGGCTTAGGTCTTGGGAATGATTACAGCAATGCTAAGTTATTTTTGTGTCACACAAAATATATCATAAACCCAGGGAACTTGAGAGTAGAGATCGTGTCAGTCATCAGGCTCAAACCTTTTCTGATGCATGAGTTTCCTTTCTGTTCTCGAAAAGTAGCTGTCCAACCTTTGCTTGAATGTCTCCAGTGAGGCCTGATTTCTTACCTGAAAAATGAGGGGATTATAATATGACTGCTCAGGATCTTTCAAGCTCTAAGTCTATTTGATGAAACCTAAACTTCTGTTGGCTAAATCATTTTTTAAAAAGCCTCTTGCTTTTCAATAAGTGAAATCAGTTTTCTCAATCTGTTCTGAAGTTATTAATTCTTTAGCATATGTGTTATTATATGTATTAAAAAATACTTAAGGGGCTGGCCCAGTGGCATAGTGGTTAAGTTCACAGAGCACTTCAGTGGCCTGGGGTTTGCAGGTTCCAATCCCGGGCGTGGACCTTCACACCGCTCATCAAGCCATGCTGTGGCGGCGTCCCACATACAAAATACAGGAAGATGGGCACAGATGTTAGCTCAGGGCTAATCTTCCTCAAGCAAAAAAGAGGAAGATTGGCAATGGATGTTAGCGCAGGGCTGATCTTACTCACCAAAAAACCTCAATATCCTTATCTTTCCAGGTAGTATGTTCAGGTGAACACACAAGGACAAATAATTCCCAGAAATTTCTAAATAGTAAGAAAAATAACTAACCAGGATGTGATGGGGGAGATGCCCTCCATTTATTTTTTGAATTATAGGTCTGGAGCTAAATTTCTACTTTTGCTCAAACTTAGTTTACAGTAAGGGATTCTTCTGAGGTCCCTGGCCACTATCACTATAATTGATGCTGGTCTCTGCATGATTGGTACCAGTAATTGGTAGTCTTGTGATTCAGGCAAGGATCATGAATGGATGATAAATGTACTGGGTGACAGGTTGCTGGGGAACAGGATATATCCATGGTCTCAAAGCATCTCTATAGGTTACTTATCACAAAAGGAAAACTGTCTCTTTACAGTGGAAAAATCTGGCAGTCACCATCTTAACCAATAAAGACACAGTATCACCTATGTGGTATTACTCTGAACATGAAGGAATAATTAGGAAAATGCACAATGTGGGACAATTTGTAAGATGACTAGACTGGTCTTTTCAAAAAGTTAAAGTCATAAAGAAAATGGGTAGAGGGCTGTTCTAGATTAAGAGACTTAAGAGTCATGACAACTAAACACAATTTTGGGGATACCTGGAGAAATCTGAATATGTTATCTTCTCAGGTGTGATAATCTTATTGTGGCTATGTAACATTGTTCTTAAGGAGATGCATGCTGAAGAAATTAGGGTTCAAGGTCATGATGTCTGCAACTTACTTGCAGATGGTTCACCAGAAAAAAGTCTACGTATGTATGTATATATGGAGATATGAGAGTAGGAAAGGGAAAGCAAATAAGTAAAAATGTTAATAACAAAAAAGAAATGAAAAAGAAAACAATCTCGTGAGCCATGTTTCTTTCTGTTCCAGGGCTATCAGTGTCTTTTATTTGATAAGTCAGATGTCTAAATTGATCTGAACTAACTTGTTTGATTGATATAAAATAGGACTCTACCACATGTCCCTTTACTTTAGATTATTTGCAGCAGGTTTAGGAAGTTATGTCTGATTAACTGGGAACCCTAACTCATTATTAACCAGAGAAAAAAATATTTTTGAAAGATTAGTGCATACTACTTTCAGGTTTAAAGGATGGCTTCAAGGCTTAAAGGATGAGCCTATGACCCCTGGACTAAATGGGGGCAAAACTTTGCCCAGCTTTAACCCCAGCTCTGCCATTAAAGGGGTTGTAAGATCCAGATCAAGTCACTTATTCAAGTCACTTTAATGAGTTTCTATGCCTAGGCTCACACCTTAGACACTAGAGAGGGGCAAGTTCACTTTTTCATTCACATCTAAATTTCACCTAGAAAACAAGGGAGTTAAATCATCTCCAAAGTCTCTTACAGCTGACATTGTCATATTTTTTAATTCACCTATATTATAAAACAAATTGTGAACAAACAGGTACTACCTGAGAGTCCAGTAATGAAGAGGGAAAGGTACCTGAAATAAGAAATAATGATTAGGGGCCGCCCCCGTGGCTTAGTGGTTAAGTGCGTGCGCTCCGTTACTGGCAGCCCGGGTTCGGATCCCGGGCGCGCACCGACGCACCGCTCCTCCAGCCATGCTGAGGCCGAGTCCCACATACAGCAACTAGAAGGATGTGCAGCTATGACAGACAACTATCTACTGAGGCTTTGGGGAAAAAAGGAGGAGGCTTGGCAATAGATGTTAGCGCAGACCCGGTCTTCCTCAGCAAAAAGAGGAGGATTAGCACGGATGTTAGCTCAGGGCTGATCTTCCTCACAAAAAAAAAATAATAAAAAAAATAAAAGCTATAAAAAATAATGACTAATTACAGAAACTCATTAAGATGCAAAGAATAATTAAAAGGTTCTCCAAAGCTGAGCCCTCAAGGTCCCTTTTACTTCTAGGATTTCTTCTTTGAAAGCTGACAGCTGAGACGTAAAAATAAATAAAATTTGTTATTTAGCTTTTTTACCTCAGGGTACATTTTTTGCTTTGATTAATCTTTTTTAAAAACCTCCAGTAATGCGTAAAGGGAAACATCTACAGAGTGCGTCCTCAGAAACTAGCAGATCACAAAAGGGGTGTTGGCCCTGCTGCTCTGCCTAGAGAGAATTTTTCAGTTCAAGGAGGGTCTCCTGCCTGTGTGCTCGAGGTCAGGGCGTGGATGCCTCACAGTCTAACACTCCGGCTGCCCCAAAACAAGACTCCGACACCCCAACCCCGGGGTGGGAGTGACTCAGAGCCTCAAATTCCGACCCTCGCCCCGGTCACACGGTCCCAGGGCAGGTTCCAAACCCGCTCTGGGGACGCGCTGCCCGGCTCCGTAGCCTCCCACAGCCCCAAGTACAAGCGGCAGCCGCCTCCAGAGACTCCGCCACCTTTCCAGAGCGTAGCCTGCCGCCCCCCGCCCGGGAACCCTGGATTCTGAGGGCAGAGGAAAGAGACCATACTTAAGCACAGGCTCTGGCATCCAACACCAGTACGCGGCTGGGGGGCTGCGCTGCCCGTTGGTCGGGGTCACGGCGGGCGCCGCAGCCGCTGGATGGAAGAGAACACGTGGGAGCGGTGATGTCAAATAGCCCTTAGATTCTTCGAAGCCGATTCGTTATAACGCGGGGCACTCCAGAGGAAAAAGTCGACATCATCAGGGAATTCTAAAATCCCCTCAGACTTAATTTTTGTTATTGCCTGCTTAGACAATGCAGTCTATTCCTTACTTCCTCGTCAATATCAACCCGAATCTGTCAAAACTCTTTCTAAAACTAATTTACTTAATCGCGCGTCCCTAACGGTCTCCTGGAGCTACCCTATAAACAGTCCCTAATAAACACGAGTTGTATTACAAGTTAGGTCGGGAGCTCTGCAGGTCTTCGATGAGGCTCTTGGGTTTTAGTCAATGTTCAAGTCTTCTCGGGCAATGTACTGCCTTAAAAAAAAAAAAAAACAGAAAAAACCAAATTCACTCGTGCTTTAAGCCTTTTACGTTGGGAGCTTGTTTCCACCCGGAGAGAAAGGGAGGAGCACCGCCGACCGTTTAGCTTTCCGGTTGGATGTTTCGGACGATTTTCTTGGCGCGCATGCGTGTTGTGTCTCAAGGGCGGGCTTAAAGGGAAGTGGGTGTGGACCCGCGGGCAACTGAAGCTGTTGTGAGGTTAGACCTGTGACTGTGCGGTTGCCGAGCGTTCTGGAGACGTGGGGAGGTGCTTTTAGGTGTCCGAGGATTGCATCTGGAGAAGTGTGTAAGACTCTGGCTGAAGAAAGCTATTAAGCATCTTATGTGGGTGATTTTTAAAAAAAATAGCGTTTCGGTTTACCTGCTTGACTCCCTCTTCTCAACAGCTCTTAACTCCGCCTGCGCATCTGTTTGGTTTTGCGCTGCCGGCTCTCGGGTCGGGGACTGCGCTGTGTGATGATGCTTATTGTTGCTCTTGCGGCCACTCTCTTGTCATCCTCACGTTCAGATTCATTGGCATGGTGCATTAACAGACTGAGTGGCATTAATGGGTACATGTGATGTTCTAGTCTAATCCTGGACTAAATACCATATAGAAAGTTGTAGCTTTGTGGATAGTCTATTTAGACGGTGTTTTATTTAAAAGTTGATGACTGCGTGTTTTTAGAATCAGTTGAAATTCACGTTTTCTTCATTCATACTCCTCCCCCGCTTCTTCTCCTCGCACCCCAAGTCTTCAAAGAGGCGAAACGTTTGTTCCGAAGTTTTATGGACCCAGAAGAAAGTTCTGCTCAGAACTGTGGGACTAGTTTTGTTACCAATAATATGAAAGGCTCCGAGTTTAGCCCGGAAAAGAAAAAAAAGGTTAAAGTACCAGCGAGGAGACTTCGTGAGGTAGTTTCTCCAAATCAGGGAGATACTTTGGCTTTGCTGAAAGATGCGTTGTCCTGTGTTCCTCCAGCGTTGTCTGCAAATAAACGTCTTCCTGCTGGAACGGGGGCTGGCTTGAATGGAACGTCACGTGGTATGATTCCCAATCGTTTTCCCTTTTGTAAATCTTTAGTCTTTATTTTCATTTCCTTGTTTTGTGTTTCAAAATGTGGAGGATTTTTTAATGTTTTAATTACCAAATATTAGTTATGGCTAGTTTGTACAGGTGTTTGAAAACTGACCCCTTTCCCTGGGAAAATGGCCGGGCGCAGTGTACATCGCATAATATGGAATAGATGGAATGAATGAAACATTTCCTTTGTGTTTTTTCTTTGTGTGGTTTTTGCACACTGTTCTTGTTCACATCTGTGACGGACACACTTAACTAGTATGATGTGCTTATTTCTCACCACTGGGGCGCTTTACCAAGTGCTCTACCTCCGGTTTGGATCGTGCTATCCAGTTTGGCATGGTAGAAAAGCATGACGTTTGCCTTTTCATGGCTTCCACGTTCTAATTCATTTAACCTGTCTGGAGCTTAGTGCAAATGAGAACAACGTATATGCTTTACCCACCTTACTGGTAATTGTAAGGATCAAATTAATAAATGTTTGTGAAAAAACAAAAATGCTTTTATAATGCTGCTTTTTTGGGGGTACAGCATAAGAGGCCTACTGTTAAATCAGATTTTTACATATTTTGTACATATTTTGTTCCTGGCAAATGATTCTATCCATAGTTTGTCTAAATCCAACAGTGTAATGATGTATTTTAATTTTATTTATTTATTTATTTTATTCCCCCAAAGCCCCAGTAGATAGTTGTATGTCATAGCTGCACATCCTTCTAGTTGCTGTATGTGGGACGCGGCCTCAGCATGACTGGAGAAGCAGTGCGTCGGTGCGCGCCCAGGATCCGAACCCAGGCCGCCAGCAGCAGAGTGTGCGCACTTAACCTCTAAGCCACAGGGCCGGCCCAAATGATGTATTTTAAAACATTTTATTCTTAGCCCACTTGATTGTCAGTACTGACTTTTTTTTTTTTAATAATTTTATTTATTTATTTATTTTTCCCCAAAGCCCCAGTAGATAGTTGTATGTCATAGCTGCACGTCCTTCTAGTTGCTGTACGTGGGACGTGGGCTCAGCATGGCTGGAGAAGCTGTGTGTCGGTGCGTGCCTGGGATCCGAACCCCAGTGGCCAGTAGCGGAGCGCGCACACTTAACCACTAAGCCCCGGGGCTGGCCCTGTACTGACTCTTATTTTCCAAAATATCAGCTGTGAAACCTTCACTGGGATATATTTAATTACATTTTAAGTTTTTTGCATGAAAAGTGGCTTCAATTTAGGTCTTGCATTAATATGGAGTATATAGTTCTTGAATCGTGCCTGTACAGTTTCTAAAAGTAAGGTTCTGATTTAGAAATCACTAAAATTGATTCCTTTGTTTTGTTAGATTCATCAGACTTATCCTTGGCTAGAAATTACCAGCAGCCTCCATTAGAAAATCCTGCTGTGTCAGAAAGTGTAAGTAAAAGGATTCTTAATTATGCTCATGTTAAAATTTTCAGTATTGTTGAATAATGTGTTTTTAAATTATGTTTGATTAGCCTTGTTTTTATTTAAATTTCACTTACCAAGATAAATGTTTTACATACTACAATTGTGACTTGAATAGTGTGTGAGACATTAAACAAAAGGCCTTCTATAGAATCCAAGATACGCGTTAGTAAGATAATGACCATTGAGCGAAATATTGTAACTGAAAAGAAGCTCTGCTGTTATCTAAGACAAAGGTATTCTAGATCAGAGACTTAACATATTGTTAGGTAAAGGAAAAGGAACAGTAACAACATAATTTTTTAAAAAAATGAGATGTAATTATATATCGTTCAGACTACTGTGAGGTCTTTGTGTGTGTTTTTTCAGGGGTCTTTAAGAAATAATATGAAATTCTGATCTTAACCTTTTTTATTTATAATGCTGAAAATATTTGATGACAAATATGTTTTAGTCGTGCAATCTAATTAGACTTTGACTACTAATCATAATATTGACCTATATTTTGTCAATTTAACAAGTCTTTAAAGAAGAGAATTTCACAATATAATATTTTGAAAATTGAAGCTGGTAAACTAAGAATGAAATTGAAACTATTTACTTATTAACTTTGTCAAAAACTCACAATAAAAATGTATAATTATGGAGCCAGCCCTGATGGCCTAGTGGTTAAAGTTTGGCTCTCCCACCACTTTGGCAGCCCAGGTTGGGTTCCCGGTTGTGGAAACACACCACCATCTGTCAGTAGCCATGCTGTGGCGGTGGCTCACGTGGAAGAACTAGAAAGACTTACAACTAGAATATACAACTATGTACTGGGGCTTTGGGTAGGGAGGAAAAAAGAGGAAGATTGGCAACAGTTGTTAGCTCAGGGCGAATCTTTCCCAGCAAAAACAAAAAAAAAAGTATAATTATGTGCCATACTTGGTCCCTGAGTAAATGCCTCGCGTTTGGATTGGTGTTTTTTGTTTCTTTTCTGAGCAGGCCTTATTTAATGATTAATAGTATTTGAATTCCATTCTCTAAATAATTTCTCAGATATATGGATATGCTGTTATTGTGTAATTGAAGACAAATGGGTGATCTTTAGAAGATCATCAGTCAGGATCCCATTAGATTTAATATGGGCTCACAGCTTGTTTTTGTGTAGATTTGCATATTGAGAAGACTAAGGGAGTTTGTGCCTGATATACTCACGTTTATAAGCTTATTTATATCTGCTCCTATTCATACCTATTTCTCCCTACTACCAGAAGATGAGATGTCCTTTTTTCTATTTGAGGCTAACCTTTATGAATGTGTGGAAAGAAAACAAAAACTTAAAAGAAAATTCATTGGAGAAAATGCAAAGGGATAAAGGAAAAAAGAAATTCCACAACTAAAATCAACAATTGTTAACATTTTGAGTTTTTTTTCCTATGGATTTATATATTTTTTGACTATATGGGACCATACTGTTTTATAACTAAGTAGTATTAATGATATCTTTCCATGTCATTGATTTTTTTTTTGTGAGGAAGCTTGGCCCTGAGCTAACATCTGTGCCAATCTTCCTCTATTTTGTATGTGGGACGGCTGCCACAGCATGGCTTGATGAGCGCTGTGTAGGTCCGTGCCCAGGATCCGAACCCATGAATGCTGGGCTGCCAAAGCAGAGCACACCAACTTAAGCACTACGCCACCAGGCCAGCCCCAACGTCATTGATTTTATTTTGGTCATTGATTTTTTTTTTTTCTAGAAACTTTTAATGGGTTCGTAGAATTTCAATGTATGTGTGTCCCATAGTTTATTTGTTCATATTCCTGTCATTTGACATTAAGGTTTTTTCTCGCAATTTTTGATAATATAAACAACCATGTGATGAACATTCTTGTGAATATTCCAGGTCATTACCTTAGGATTAATTTCTAGATGTAAAATTATTAGATCAAAGGATATGTACACTTTTTGAAATGTTTCTAAATTGCCTTCAGAAAGACTGTATTAATATATATTCTCTCCAGCAAGGTCATGAGTGGATGTAATAGAATTATTTTCCCCCATCTTTACCAATATGGAGCATTAAAATTTTAAAAAATCTTTGCCATTTTGATAAGTAAAAAAGGCATCTCGCTTTTATTTTGTATTTCTTTTATTGTTAGTAAATGGGAAATTTTTTTCATGTATATTGCCATCTGTATTTATTCTTCTGTGATTTACATGTTTATGTGCTTTTTCTTACTGATTTGTAGAAGTTCTCTAATTTCCCAGATGCATTCTACTGTATTGTTAGTCTCATCTGGCTATTTTTAGGAAGTTAACAACTGTTATCAGTGGATAGTTTGGATCAGTTTCCTTTTGTGGTTTTCTCTTTTACTTTTTCTGATGTAGCAGAAGAAAAAAAAAGTATGTCTAGGGAAGGTGAAGAGCAATGTTGAATGAACCTACTACTTAAAAAGTCATGGTGTCTTAGCAGTGAGTAGAATCTTAGAGATGAAGTGTAGGGTTACACAAGTAAACAGAAAGCTATTTGCTGCAGAGAATCCTTCTGAGACCACACTGTGAGCTCAGTAGCAGAGAACGCTGTGATTAATTTGTGATGTTGTGCCGTGTGCTGGCCATCCTTATGCATTCCATTTGACTTACAGTGAATCAGATTTTCACATTTAACTGTAGCAACTGAGAAGTTACGTGACTTGCTCTCCTAGAAGTGGCAAATCAGGATTTGAGTCTGAATTTCAGGGCCATAGTTGCTTGCTTATTCATTTGCTCGTTCATTCACTTGTTTGACAACTGATTACTCACTCATTCCACAAATCCTTGAGTAGCTTCAATGTGCCTAAGCATTGTGGTGGTGTTGGGAATTCAGTATATAAAGCACACAGTCCTGCCCTCCCGGAACACAGTAGTCACATAGCTAGTAAAAGGTACTTGATAAGTAATAAATCTAAAGTTTATTTAGCCTTTCATTTCCTCTTTTCATATCTCAAAGGATTTTTCTAAAGATGTTGCAGTACAAGGGTTGCCTTTGGATAAAATGGAAGAGAGCAACAGACAAAAAGGTATAAGGATAGATTTGATTTTTTGTTGTTGTTGTGGTAATATATACATAACATAAAATTTACCATTTTTACCATTTTTAAGTGTTCTCTGGCATTGGGTACATTCGCCTTGTGCAGCCATCACCACCATCCATCTCCATAAATTTTCATCTTCCCCAACTGAAACTCTGTACTCATTAAATACTAACTTCATTCCTCCCACCCTCCAGTCCCTGGGAACCACCATTCTGCCTTTGGTCTCTGTGAATTTCACTATACTGCATATATATGGAATCATACAATGTTTGTCCTTTTGTGATTGACTTATTTCACTTAGCGTGTCTTCACGGTTCATCTATGTTGTAACATGTTAGAATTTCTTTTTTTATTTTTTGTGGGGAAGATCGGCCCTGAGCTAACATCTGCCAATCCTCCTCTTTTTGCTGAGGAAGACTGGCCCTGGGCTAACATCCATGCCCATCTTCCTCCACTTTATATGGGACGCTGCCACATGGGTGCGTGCTCGGGATGGAACCGTTGAACCCTGGGCTGCCGCAGCAGAGCGCGTGCACTTAACCACTTGCGCCACCGGGCCGGCCCCTAGAATTTCTTTTGTAAGGATAGAATTTTACATTTTTAGACATTCATTGATGTTTTTAGATATTCATTAAACAGGCTGTTAGTTTTTTTTTATTATTTTCATTTTTAATTAGGTTTTCCCTCCAAATTAAAATATTAATGGAATCTCTAAAATCCAGAAAAAGGTTTGCAGTTGTAAAGGTAATTTTATTATTACCAACCTATTGCACAGGTCTGGTATTAGATTCTGGATCTAACTCTGTTTATAGATTCTGTTAATAAATTCTGAATTCAAGTTTTGACTAGTCTTTGGTAAGATAATAGATTAAAAATATTTTGTAATTTATTAAAAATTTTGAAAAATTTTATTCAATGCTATTTTTTAAGTGCTTGGTTTTATTTTCATCTAAGGAGTTTTCTCTTTCGAGTTTGAGCAAATGTCTCCAGTTTAGCCTCAGATGTTTTTGATACAATTATTTTCCTAGGGTCTAGGGTTACAACTATTATTACCAGTCACTTAATTTGTTCCTTGCCTTTTTTTAATTGAGAAATCTTATTGCTGAATTCCTAAACATTGTTTTAGTTAAAAAAGGTTTTTTGGAGTAGCTTATTAGAATTTAATAAATTTTCAGGAATCTGAAGTGTATCTTTGTGTCTTGATTTTGCAGCAAATGACATCTTTATTTCTCAATACACTATGGGACAAAAAGATGCTCTAAGAGCAGTTTTAAAGCAAAAGTAAGTTTCATTTACAGAACATAGGTGGGCATTTCTTGTGTTTGTATATGGTTCTCCAAAATCAGCTTCATTTATACTTTGGACATAGGGAAAACTTTCTTTTCAATGTGGGAGATATGTATTGTGTGATGATATATGTAAAGTGTTTTTCATGGTGCTGGGCACATATGCAATACTCAATGGCTGTTAACTATTCTTATAGAGGAGGTACTGTTCTAAGCACTTTATGTGCGTTAACTCATTCAATACTCACAAGATCCAGTGAAATAGATTCCATTACGATCCCAATTTACAGAATTCTCATTTTATAGATGAGGAAACTGAGGCACAGAGAGATTGATTTTTCCCAGGGTCATTTAGCAGGTATTCACCGGGCTGAGCTTCAAACCCAAGCAATCTACCTTTAGAGCCTGCTCTCTTAATCACTTCACTATACCACTTGTAGTAGCAGTCAAGTAGTTCCAAATACAGAATACTTATTATTTACTATCAAAGGACAGTTAGACTTTTCCTGCTCAAGATTTGAGAAAGGGACAAGCTTAGCATCTGGATGGAGTGAAGGGAGACCATGGCTACTACTCCATCTAAATGATCCCTCCAGCTTTATCTTATATACCAATGAAATACAGAACCAACCCTGACAGCAGCACCACGATGACCATGAAAGAATACGTCACTACTCTGGAGGCAATTTTTGTTATTTTTATCATTACTAGGGAAGGAACAGGATGCGTATTCTTAGGCTAAGTGTATTCTACTCCTGAACCCGAGCAGCCTGGAAGGCCCCTTAGAAAACAGGACAAATTTTTACTTACTTTTGAGCTCTCAATTTATTCAAAAAGGAAATTTTATATTTCTTCTGTAAATGGAAAGTCAGTATTTCTAATAATACAATTAAAATAAATATACAACTATTAAAATAAAACGTTTATTCTTTTCACACTTACAGTTATCCATGGTATACATATTATGCTCTGGAAAACACTGGACTAACAAAAATAAATACTGTCTTTAAACCACAAGGGTATGATCTGAGCCAGCCAGGTTGTTGGCCTCATCATGTCTTTGCTTTTTACCTTTGTTCAGCCTACAATTCCTAGTATGTGATATGGTGGTTAGGAGAGGAATTTGGATGGTAAATTGTATCCTGGGGTTTATAAATATATAAGAAAAAGCAAAAATAAGGGCAGAGGGGTGGTGCAGTCTCTCAAATGCTATACTTGAACTAAAAATTACAGATTACATCTGACTCAGTTGGACAGAAAGTGATTACCACTTGCATCCAGCTGACCCCAGGAGAAGTGGCTGCTCCAGCCGCAGTGGGGACTTTTTCAACTTGCCTTCAAGTCAGAGCTTTCCGAACTCTCAGATCTGAGAGGGAGAAGTTGTTTATAAACATGTGGACAGTGAGAGGTAACTGTGAAAACTACCCCTCTTATCTGTTGAAGTAGATTCTCCCCACTTCAGGGTGAATGAACAGAATTTTTAAAGATTTTATTTATTCATTTTTTTCCCCCCAAAGCCCCAGTAGATAGTTGTATGTCATAGGTTCACATCCTTCTAGTTGCTGTACGTGGGACTCGGCCTCGCGTTGGACAGAGAGGTGGTGCCTTGGGGCGCGCCCGGGATCTGAACCCGGGCCGCCAGCATCAGAGCGCACGCACTTAACCACTAAGCCACGGAGCCGGCCCTGAACAGAATTTTTAAAAAAAGCTAGGCATGGCCTCTGAGAAGGTAATTGCAATGTAGAGAATAATTGAAATAGAACTATAAAGATGACTCTCATGTTGAGTTAAAAGACAGTCTAGTTATCTCTCAAGAGAGAGATTTTGCTATAGTCAGTGTCACTTGAATTTTTTTTATTTGGAGAATGGTAGATGCAATTTGGCAAAATGATTCTAAAATTTATCTGGAAGGACATACAGTTGAGAATATATATATCTGTTGTTAAGAATGCATACATATAGAATACACACAATTGAGACTAGCTAATTTTGGAAAAACAAAAACAGAATGACAGAGAATTTGCCCTATTTGATATTTAAATGTGCTCTGAAGCTATAATAATGAAAGGTAATAGACTGGAGCCTTTGAGGAAGGAAGAGTGTCTAGAACAAGGGGAAAAGGTCCTAACGTGGCTAGAGAGGTAAGCAAAGGGCTAGTTTATGAACTCCTTTAAAGGAGTTTGGACTGTAAGAGAAATGGCAAATCATTTAAAGTTTTAGAGTATGATATATATTTCTTAAAAGGCTCACTCAAGTATTGATATCAAAATATGGATTAGAAGATGAGTGGACTGTAGTCGAGGAAACTAATTGGCTACATATTTTTCAGGGATCTCTTTGAGAGATGGATTAGATTGGCCCTGAATACATTGGGGAGTGGTGGAATGAGGGTGGGAATCATGCTGGACTGGAGAGAAGTAAACAGATATGGAAGATGATTTGGAGATAGAATTGGCAAGAATCGATGATTAGATGTGAGAGCGAGGAAGGAGCTGAGGGTGAATCCCAGATTTTTGGCGTATATAAGTGCATGGTCAGTAGTAGTATTCATTGAGAAAGGGAATCCTTGGGAAAGAATCCTTGGAGGAATAAATTTTATTTTGGACATAGGCAGGGGTTTGAGGTACCTATGAGACATCCAGGTAAAAAATGTCCAGTTGAAAATTGAATATAAAGGTCAAATTCACAAAAAGGAGTCTAAGCTAGAAATCCAGATGTAGGAGTCATCAGTATGTTGATGGTAGTCTAAGCTCTGGAAATGGTCGAAGTGACTCAGTGAGAGTGAAAAGAAAGATGGCAGCGGGCAGGACTCGGAGAAAACCAGACCTTTGAGAGAGACACAAAGAAAGCAAGCCAGGGGCTGGCCCAGTGGTGCAGCGGTTAAGTGCGTGCGCTCCGCTGCGGCGGCCCGGGGTTGGCAGGTTTGGACCCGGGGCGTGCACCGATGCACTGCTTGTTAAGCCATGCTGTGGTGGTGTCCCATATAAAGTAGAGGATGGCTGATTATCAAGACTCAATTCTGTCGTAGAGGCACTGTATGCAAAAGAAGTTAATGAAGGGAGAGATCAAGAGGAAGTGTTATAAGGACAGGCTTATTGAAGAAGCTAAGGCTTGCATTGGATCTTAAAGAGGGAGAAGGATATAGTAGAAGGATTGGGTAGAAGAAGGTTGAGAGAACAGAGTGAGGAAAGGCCTGGAGTCCGCTGTGGGAGTGGTGTGCAATCAGCGAGTGTGACCCCAGAGACGGTTGTTTCATGAGAACAGGAGGTATATACAGGAAGCTAAGGCAGGGCCACAGGTCGGAGGTGTGGAAGGCCAACCGAGGAAATTAGCCTGTTCGGTTTTCTCGATGGAACTGTTTTCGATTTTTGTGTGGTAGAGAAATGTGTGTGGGAAGTTTCTTAACTAAGTAAAAACTGAAAGAATGAAATAATTGGCAAGAGATGATGAAGTTTTGTACTAGAGAGGGAGAAGCAGGAAGGGAGAATTGCTGTTCCCAGAGAAGCTGGGTGTTGTGGGAAGATCTCTGGGAACTGGGCCCTAACTCTGCCACTTACTAGTTCTGTGACTCTGATCAAACAAATCCTGTTACCTCTGTGGACCTCAGCTTCTTCATCTGTAAAATTAGGAAATTAGGATAGATGGCCTGTGGGGTTTCCCCTGCCTCTATAATTCTATGACACTATTCCTGCAATTGTGATGGAATAATTGACAAAGCATGAAGCGTGATCACTCAGTTGGGTGTCAGAAGATAAGTGGAGGGTGGAGAAGTTAAGATAACTGTAACATTTTGAGACTGAGAGAAAAATGATGCTCTTAGTAAAAATGAGGAAATATCAAAGAGTAAGAGTAAGTTTAAGAGCTCTGGGCCTTCTTTAAGAATCGAAGGGGGGGATTCAGGAGCTGGAGATAGGCACATTCCTGCTGATTTTACTTAGATTTACCTAGAGACTTCTCAGTTTTATCAGTGGTTCCTTCCATTGTTTTCTTTTAGGCCAAATATAGAGCAAAATTGACCAGTCTTTTTTTTTTTTAGTATTTAGTTAAATGCCTTATTGTGAATATGTATCTATTTGCTGGACCCATTTGTAGTCTAGGCTGCTTAATAGTGTGTTTTGTGCCCATTTTAATAAACTTAGGTGATAATTATTAAACCTAACTGAGCTAGAACTTAAAAAATTCTTTTCAGCAGTTTTAACAGTCCCTCTTGGGTTGTCTTCCTTTGCGAGTAAAACTTGGTACTTGAATTCTTAGAGCCTTTTCTGCATGTTTTAAATTTGTACTTCTTGATTATATATCTTTGTAATTGTGTCCATGTCTTTTTCATGTGTTGTTAAGTCTTATTTTCTGAAATATCACTGCCTTCAAGAAATTATTTTCTTATCTCTTTAGTGTTTAGAGACCTGAGCCTTAATAGATTTCGTTAACCAAATGACTGATGAGATGCTGATAGCGAAAACCAGGGATTTAATTTTTTAAAAAATCGAGAAAATCCACCTTCAACAGATTACCACTTGTAGGTATTTCTTGAAATGGTTCTTACCTAAGGTGTAGCTTACTGAATAGATTTTTATTCCTTTTTTATTTACAGAGCTCAAAGCATGCCTGTTTTTAAGGAAGTAAAAGTACAGCTTTTAGAAGATGCAGGCACAGAAAAGGATATTATTCCGCAGGAGACTAGAACTTCACCTAGTGGAATTGACTCAGCTACTGCTGTGGCTGCAGCCACTGCCGCCGCCATTGCAACAGCAGCGCCACTGATAAAAGTATATTTTTCTCCCCAGATGTTCATAACTACTTTGTAAAATGTAAAAATGTTTGTTAGGAACCTAGTCTATAAATTGTTGTGTCCAGCCATAAACCAGGGCCATTCTACTTGCTCTCTGTGGTTGGGTAATACCTCTCAAGAGTTTTGAGACTTCCCCCTCATCACTGCGCTAGTGCTACAGAACCCAGGACTTCCCAGTTATAGCCCTGAAAATATATCAGTCCTGGGCAACCTGGGGTAATTGGTCCTCCTTATTTTAGAGCTGGAAGGGACTTCAGAGACCTGCTCTGCCAACCCCCTCAGTTTCTAAATGGGAAAACCCAGAAACAGGTCAGAGGAGGCACAAGGTCCCTGAGCTAATAGGTGGCACAGCCAAACTAGAACTCGAGGCTGCCCGCCTAACTCAGCCTTTAGATTAGTGAAGTATCAAAGCTACTTCGTTTTGCCTTTTCCTTCTTTTTAATTTTTATTTAAGTGTTTTATTTCTGGCATTATAAAAATTCTATGTGGCAAATTTGGCATTTTTTTATGAGAGAAAAGATGTACTTAAGGATAGCTATCTTCTGCATTTTATTTCTGTGATTCTAAAAATAAAGGCATAAAAGCATCAGAAATTTAGAGAGTAAAAGCCCTGGTTTTATTATTTCTCAATACCAATTGCTTTAAATAAACTTTCTAATAATTAAGCATATTTTTGTTATCTTTTGATTTTTTACTGTTTTAGGTACAGAGTGATTTGGAAGCAAAAGTCAATTCTGTTACAGAATTACTCAGTAAGTTACAGGAGACTGATAAACAGTTACGACGTGTTACAGAGCAGCAAACAAGCATTCAGAATAAGCATGAGAAACTACATTGTCATGATCATGAAAAGCAAATGAACCTGTTTATGGAGCAGCACATTAGGCATCTTGAAAAGTTACAACAACAACAACTGGATATGCAGGTATCTGTAATAAAGCGAGCACACATCAGTGATCTTGTATCACTTGGATCTCTAAGCTAATATTCATTGATTGTTGCAATAGCTCATTGATTGTAGCAGTTTTCATTCTTAAATAATGATTTACTTATTCCTCATTCTTTCCCTCTATGTGGAGAACTCTGCACGTTGTAGTTCAAATATCTAGGTCTGTGAGACCTCTCCTCATAGTTGGTGTTTTCTTCTTTTGTGGTATTTCTGTTCATACTATTTTTTTTTTTTTAATTTTTATTTATTTATTTATTTCCCCCAAAGCCCCAGTAGATAGTTGTGTCATAGTTGCACAGCCTTCTACTTGCTGTATGTGGGACGCGGCCTCAGCATGGCCGGAGAAGCGGTGCCTCAGTGTGCGCCCAGGATCTGAACCCGGGCCGCCAGCAGCGGAGCGCGCATACTTAACCACTAAGCCACAGGGCCGGCCCTGTTCATACTATTTTTAAAGCGCTTATATCACATTGCAATTATTTGTTTGCATCAGTGGTTCTTAGCCTGGGAATGTGCACCAGAATCACTTGGAGAGCTTTATAGAAATACACATGCTTGTACCTCTCAGAGGAGACAGCAGGTCTGAAATGGGGCCTGGGAATCATGAAAGCTCTATAATGATTCTGATGTACACCCTTGGATGAGAACCACCTGGTAAATATATTTACTTCTGCATTTAATTAATTGAAAGTATGAACATTTTTAGTGCCTTTTGAATATGAGGCACTGGGCTATTATAAAAAGAAGAGTTATGAGGCCGGCCCAGTGGTGTGGTGGTGAAGTTCGCGTGCTCTGCTTTGGCGGCCTGGAGTTTGCAAGTTCGGATCCCAGGCGCAGACCTACACACCACTTATCAAGCCATGCTATGGCAGGCATCCCACATATAAAGTAGAGGAAGATGGGCATGGATGTTAGCCCAGGGCTAATCTTCCTCACCAAAAAAAAAAACAAAAAGGAAGAGTTATCCTCACAAGGAGCCGATAGTATAGTTTCTTATTTATTTTGGAATTTCCAAGTCCTGGGATACTACCCCGCATTCAGGTACTCAGTATACTTTCTTTCTTTCTTTTTTTTTGAATGAATGAATGATCAGCATAAATGCATTGGTTTTATTTTATTTTATTTTTTATTTTTTTTAAAGATTTTATTTATTTATTTTTCCCCCAAAGCCCCAGTACGTAGTTGTCTGTCATAGCTGCACATCCTTCTAGTTGCTGTATGTGGGACGCGGCCTCAGCATGGCTGGAGGAGTGGTGCGTCGGTGC